AAATGATCATGCTATGTGTGTAGTAATATATATTATGCAATTCTACTACCAATCATGTCATATCTCATCCACAATTATATTCCATATTCTCTACTATACAACACGTATTTTCACATGCCCAATATCACATGTTACCCCTTTTCACAAATACATGTACATATGCACTATCATTAGTAATATATGAATTCATGCATACTATCCTCAATAATCCCACATGAACTCATAATACAATGTAGCACATTGCTAACATTTATATCTATGGATTCTCAAGCACCCAAATAATTTTCAAATGGTTTAATTCAACAAACAAATAATTAACATACAACTATACAAACAAGATTTACCCCCAGTTACTTTAATATTTGAGAGGTTAAAGATTTAACCCTCATAACAACCACTTTTAATGCTTTCAAATTAGCTTGAATGGTGCAAAAACTTATAGTATATAATAAAATCACAAGAATATTTATTATTACTCCATATTTGGACAATTTTTAAAATTTTAACTCCACATTATCTCTTAATTGAAATCAAAAATTCACTCTTAAATATACTTAATAGGTTTACTAGGTTTCAATAACCCACATTATCCTAAATGAACCATTTAACTACCATTAATGGCTTTAACACAACTCTAACAATCATATTTATTGTCATTTTTGGATATTAATGATGCCTAACAACAAACAACTCACAAAACTATTAATGTGAGATATAAATACTATAAACAACTCTCATTATATTTTTTTTAAGTCAATGAGTTTAGACTCATAACTCATGTAGACTGAAAATCACTCTCCCATCTCAAACCCTCACTTAAATCTTCAAGAAATAGAAGGAGGAAGGAAGCATAGGGCATATAAGACTTATCTTAGGTGATTAAAAGCTCCAAAATGTCTCCAATTATTCTTAAATTTGTTTTCAAGTAGAGCAGTGGGCATGCTCTTCGTTCCTCCTTATTCTCTCTTTTGATTTTTCAAACAGATACAAATTGATTAAAGCAGAATTTTAGTCATGCGCAACAGCCCACACTGTAACGCATGGCACAAAGAGGCCTATCTCACTGTGGTTGCCCTTATGCGCTCAGTGGATGTTCCTCACACTGCAACATGTGGCACAAAGGACCCTTCTTTAATTCTTTCTCACTTTTTGATACTCGAATGGCTCGACTTCGGTTTGGACCTGAATTTAAGGTTGAAAACACAACCTAATACACATATTAGACTCTTCTAGCCACACACCTCACTTAATTACTCTGTTTCACTTAACTAAATCTAGATTAGTTTTTTAAGATGTCACAACCGCCGGCACCAACTGTGATTGGATAGTCGCTTGTGATCGGGATTAGACAGTCAGATCACACTGTGATCGAGTTCGATGATTTTGGTCAGGATTGGACCGACAACCTCAATTAGGGTTGGATTGTAGGCGCCGACCGAGATAGGGATCAGACCATCAGTGGTCTATTCTTCATCGAGGTTGTTGGTCCAATCCCGCTCACAAAAAGTTGTCCAATCTCAATCAACACCTATAATCTGTCTTGGTTGGTGCCCATGGTCTTGTCATGCCAATGGTTCAGTCCCAGTGGAAGTTAGTCGTTCATTCATAGTTGTTACCTACACTCCAATCCCAGCTAGCGTCAATAATCCAGTCTCGATGGAAGTTGGTCATTCGATCCCAGTTGGCACTGACGGTTAGGCCCGATAGGTGTTGACGATTTGATTCTAGCTGGTGTCGATGGTTAGATCTCTATGAAAGTCAGCCATTAGATTTCAATCAGCAATGGAAGCCTAGTCCTGGTCGCCATCGGCAATCTAGTCCTGTTTGACATTGCTGACGAGCCAGTCAAATTACAAAGAGATTGATATAGAATTTTAAATAATAGAGGTTTAAAAAAAATTTTAAATTATAAAAAAGATTGAGGTAGAAATTAATCCATACATTTTTAATTACTCAAATAATGAATTTGGCCAAATTTAAATTTCTATATATCCAAACATAATATACAGTATTTTAATGTCATAAATAAGATAGAGAGGCAGGAATTGTGAGAATTCAGTCAATATTTTCAAAAACGCAAATGGCGACGGGAAAACACACACAGAGAGGGAGCCATGCCGTCTGCAAAAGGAAAAAGAAACGAAAAAAACAAAGAAATGAAAGTAATGGCAACATATAAGAGTAATTTAACATAGAAAAGAAGAACACTGACATGATGGTTGGTGAGTGTCTCGTGCTACTCCATCTTCTTCTTCAAGATATTCTCCATAGCATAGCAACAATAATAGTGAACTAATAATCACAAGTCCACATGTTCGCATCACATACAGAAAATGTGGATTCCACATCTAAGTTTTGACTTCACTTCTTTCAAAATCATCAAAAGATCAGTAATGTGTAGTAATCAGCAACAGGGACATCGACGCTCAACTTGTTTTGATCATAAAATCACCAAAAATTCATTAATACAAGTTGAGTCTGTAGAAAGAGATTTATTGATATCTTATAAGGTGATAAATCAATATTCAAACCATAATTAAAAAAATTTTCACATTTAATGTCAACATTGCTTTCAACAGGAAAGCACCTGGCCGAGCAAAATTACCAAACATTTCAGACCAGAAAAAACTAGTAAAGTTGGGAAAATGCAGTATAAAACTCTCCAGCACCCAATTCAATCCAACCCACATCATGGCTTATACGAGGGCTAGCAAGAAAATTGGGTTGATATATCAAATGTGACTATGTGAGTGCACTTGACTTGGAAACATGAGATGAAGTTTTGCATAAAATAAAAAAAAATATGACTTTAAATTCTTACATCTTACTCGCATTTTGTTATAGATCCTTGCAGTTTTTTTCGATATTATAGGTCCTTATGCTTTTGTTTTTCGGTGCTCTAGATCCGTAAAACCTAGAACATTGAAAAAAAATGTAGGGACCTATAACAAAACGCGAGCAAAGTGCAGAATTTAAAGTTATGTTTTCTTTAAAATAAAATTTGGTTTGTGCCTTAAACATTATTCTAAAGTTTAATTATTTCTAAATGTGTGTGCGGAGAGCATCACTTAAGAAAATACAATCCCTTAAATAACGATTAGATTTTTCAAGACATTTGTCTCATGATTGTCGGTTGTGAGAATATTTTAAAAAATTTAAAAAATAAAAAGACTTATAATTTTATTGTCTTCAGATTTTAAATTAAAATATAATTTCACATTCATTCATGTACTGAATTTTATTGCTGTTGAGCTTTTCTTCCTTTTGGAGCTTTCCACATGTCCAGTGAATTTATAAAAGTTGTTTTGTTTATAACTGATAAATAATACACCTTATTATTGGTCCAAAAAAACAAATGCACCTTCCTCTATATCTATATCTATATATATATATATATATATAATTGCATGTGTGTGTTCGTTTTGTGTGTGTGTGTGTGTGTGTGTGAGTGAGTTTTTGGGGTGGGGGGGTTAATATGACTCAGTGTCCGTGCAATCTATAAATGCGTGTAAAGAAAAATTACGTTGAAGGACTAAAGTGACAGTTTCTTTACAGCGGAGAACCTTAAGTTTATGGTATACCAAAATACCCTTAAATTTATGAAATTTTTTTGCATTGTGAATATCAATTTTTTTAAAAAATAAAAAGATGTCTAATGACTAAAGTTCCTATAAGAAAAAAAATTATCTCATTTAATAGTTGTACTTAAAAAATTAAATATTAAGACAGAATTTAATAGTTATCCATAAAGAATCATCATCAGTACTCTCAAAATTCACCTATATGACTATGAAATTTGATTTGATTTAATACTAAATTTCTCATGTACAATGATCACTTTCTTTTTATATGACTAATAAATGAGTTAAATTATTTATCTTATATGAGGGATGTTTAGTTTAACTAGTTGATGAAGTTGAATCAACTTATTTTAGAATTTTAAATTTAAATTCTTAAATGTGCAATTGAGTTAAATGTGTAGTTGAGTGAAAACATTTTCAAAATACTTATAAGACTGTTGTTGATAATAACAATCTCATATAATAAACATTTAAGTTAGTTTGGATAGGGGATGATAATACCACAAGTTTACTGGACAAGGAATCACGGAAAAAGGAAATTATTTATCTTATGAGCATCTCAATCATCATACATCTTTTTTATTTTCAAGGAAAAATCTATATCTTGCAAAAGAATTTTATAAATTTAAAGGTTTTACAAAAATATGTCCTAACAAATTAAAAAAAACATGAAGCTATTATAGAAATAAATCCATAAAAATAGAGTGATATTGCAAACTGTGACTGATTTACTCGCCCACCAAATTTTATAATCAGTTAATCACAACATAAATAACATCCAAAAAAATAGAAATAAATCACCAAGTGAACAAAATAACCAACATTGACTCTCATTAACCGAATTATTATCCCTCCTCCTAACTTTATTTTAATATGTCGAACGAACTTCTAGATTATAAACAATGCTGGCCATTAGAAAGTCGAAAGCTAGTGCTTTTGAGACAAGGGACAACCTAGATGATCTGACTGGTTAAACCGTCATTTGAATACAAAAGTAACTCCCTTTTTTTTTGGGTCAAAAAATACGAAAGTAACTTAATTTAACTTTTGTTAACAAAATAATATTATCAGTATTTTTAATTTTAATATTTTATTTATATAAACATAAATATTTTTTATTAAATTATTATGTTATCAATTTCACTCCCATTCTAATTAATATTAATTAGATTAGTTGAAAGAAACAGAGCAAATACAAAACGCACGACGAACACACATCACGCACACAAATATTCGTGGCCACCATACCTGGCACACGAATATGAACGCGCACCCCTGCGCACACTCACGCAATCATGCAAATACAACACAACCATACATGTTGTGCACAACACACACACACACACACACACAACACCAAATTGAGCCTTCAAGCCTTCGAGAGAACAAGTCTAGAGAGAGTGGGAGCGAGGCAAAGAATTATAAACAAAACTTAAATTAAGCATGCAAAATTATAGGATACCATAAATGCCCCTCTCAGTTGTCACCACTAGAAATTAGAAAATATCTCCTTTAACTCCTGCTATTGGTTATCGAGAAGACGAGAAGCCATGGCCAAGTGTTGTCTAGCTTTTGCACAGTTTTACAGGTTGGACTCTCTCTCTCTCTCTCTCTCTCTCTCTCTCTCTCTCTCTGTGGTTGGTGCCAAATTAAAATAGTTTAAAAGGACATTTTGGCTTCATACTAGGAAGCACCCAGGACAAGTTTTCGCAAATCGAAAGCATGGTAAAAGAGAAATTACAAACAAGAATCATTAATTTAGACAAACAAAAACTTCTTTTTCGGTGTCTTCATAATGATAACAAGTAGTTCCTCTTTCACTCTCTCTCAGTAGGCAAACCCACCGCCACCGGCTCGGTTTCTGGGTCATTTCCGATGACCCCGAGAAGAAGCCGACGACGAAGACGAAGGGGATGACGAGGACAACGAAGCAGGCGATGTGGGGCTTTTCATGGCGGCCAGAGAACAAATCTCTCTCTGCATACTCTCTTCCTCGTCCATGAATATCTGCTTGCACCTGCACTCCACGCTGCAAAACCCCCTGTCCCCCCTGTAAAATTCACGTTTCATAATAACAACACCAGAATAGGCCTTTCAACGGATCTGGGTCACGCAAAAATCCAAGTGAAACAGAAGGAAAAAAATCATTTCGTTATGATGTTATAAGATCTGGGTATGAACAGAAACAACACGTACTTGTACATGTAGATGTCTTTTCCGAGCAAGAGTCTCTTCCTGCAGAGGAAGCATTGATCAAGAAAAGAGAGTGCTTGAGAACCAGAGTGACGATGGGAATTAGAAGTCGGTGGCGAAGCTGAAGAAGAAGGTTTGTTGTTAAGCATCATGGAAGTTTTGTTAATAACATGAGGAGTGTTCTTGTCGCTACAAACACCAAATTTCTGGGCTTCTAGTACCACACTCAGACCCACCATGGTTCATGATCTGTTCTCTCCCTCCCCCCCTCCCTCCCTTCTGAAACACTCACAGCACCGGTCTCAAAGGCTGTTTGAACGTTGGTGGAAGAGAAAGGATTTTGAGGGGATTACATAAATAGCAGAGAGAAACAGGGAAGGGAGAAGAGAAAAGGATGAGGAGGAGGGGAAGCAGAATAGGAGATCGTACGAGTGGGACCCCTACAGCTATGGAGCAGTAAGCAAGAACGATTAGCGAAGACGACGATTTGACTGGTTTTGCTGTGGGAGTGCCACGTATAGGTCTATTTTTTAATTTATATTTTACGTTATTCTATTTTATGTATTCCGTATGTCCTCTTTATATTAGGCACATTTTTTTAAACCACTTACACTTTGATGATTTGGTTAGAAACTTAGAGGTGATTGATTCACCGTAAGAATTTTTGAATTCGTGAGTATGTAACATTAATTAAATTTAATGTAGGAAGTATGTCTCTTAAAAAGATATCATTCTCGATTAAAAAATAAAGTATTAATAATTAATTCATGAATTTTAAAAAATATTAATTGAAACTTTAATTATTTTTTAAAAAAATTATAACCTTTCAATTTTAATATCATTAAATATCTTATTTAATTCTTTTGATAATAATAATTAAAATTTTAATATATTATTTTTTAAAAAAGAGTAATAAATCAAATAAGAGTATAGTTTAAAATAATTATAAAAGTTATTCAATTCTCTATGTTTTAAATCAAGCAAGATTTTTAAAATATGCCCTATATAGTGATTCAAAGGGAGTACTTATAAGTTACCAACTGGATTAATTTGGATTTGAAATTGAAATACTAACATAGTGAGCGTGCTTGTGGTATTTAAAAATATAAGGCTTTTTTTCACCTCAATATAAGGCATTTTTTGTGTAACTTCCCTGAGGTTAAACCACAACTAACTTTAAATTATAGTTATATGAGGTTTTAAAAAGAAGAATTTCTCAAAAATTATTTCACAGAAATCTCAATTTGTCATTTTAAATCTCAAACATAATTTAAGAATTTTAAATCAGAGTTTTAAAAATAAAGCGGAAGTTTGAAAATCAATTGAGACCCAAAATAATGAGTTTTAAAACTCAAAAACTATTTTTATACAGAAAATGACACATGCGCTGTGGCTTATGGCTTATGCGCCGCGGCATGTCTTTTCTGTGCCATGCGCCACGGCGCATTGCACGAAATTTGATAGATCAGTATTGTTATTTGACAACACAAGGAGCGGACTTCTAACGTGTTTCAAATATCCATCCGACATCTGATTGAGGTGATTTTAGTGTCTACACGAAACTTTCTCCTAACTCTAGCTAATGGCACAAGTTTCACATTCAAATTCATCTTCTATAAAAAGTTAGACACCAAAACTCATTTCTACCACTTTTTCACAAAATCTCTTAAATGGGATGTCCCAACTCAACCACATGTACCAATAGCTTACACAACCATCTGACCATACTCAATGGACTCTTACAAACTCATCCAACACACTACACACAATCAAACACGCTTATTTCACAAAATATAGAGGGGGAGGAAAAGTTGCGCAAAATCAATCATTTCATTCATTTTTCTCAAAAATACATATGTACCTACGTGTACAAGTATTTTGATCCTATCTACGGGTTCACAAATAAAACTCATTAATTCAAAGCACAAAATACACTAGTTAAATACAAAATCATGCAAGTAGTGCACCAATCATGACAATTGTTCCTGGTTGGCAATCTCATTAACAAATACACATATAAATAGCAAAAGAGGGGTATATAGAGGATTTACTCCACCAATCTTAAGCCTCAATGGGTTTCCCCAACTCAAATCCAATGAGCTAGTCTCTGAAAATATTGAGAATTGAGGGGTGAGTACAACCACTCAGTAACTAAGTTTTACTTAATCCTTACAGTTACATGTTAATTGTAAATAAATGTAATTAGGCACATAAACACATATTTTACATAGCACTAAGCCACGGTTCATAAAACTAACAACTATGTGACCGGGTTTACCACAAAATACTGTATCATGATATTTTCACAAAAACATAATATAGGGTCGTAAAAATAACAACTATATGCCCTTAATACGTGCCAGATCACAAAACTAACAATCATGTGGCCCAGACTTATATGTATGATCATATGCCAATCTTATATCCTCTTGTTACCTCCGACACGAAATTGGTGGCTGTAACGTGGCTACATCCTTCACGGACTAACCCAGCCTTCCACTTGTGAGGAGCTACGGGGCTAAGGTTAACTCACTCATTTATGTAATTCTGTTTTCCTCTAATATTAACAATCAGGGGGTGTCGTACCTCTAATCTAGCCTCCTCATGAACCGGTGGAGACTAATTAGGTTCAAGTCCCTCATAGAACAAGTGGGACAGTCCCGAATCAACCATAGGACAAGGGCTACCTCCCGATTCCAACGGTCGATGTCAAGACTAGTTTTCGATTCCAATGGTCACTGTTAATACCACTTGGATTTCAATCAATCTAGTCCTTTCCCTAATCAAACTCCAACCAATGATCATATTATGCACATTTCACAAGCAATATGCATTTAATATTCATTTCTCAACACATAAACTTACATAACACAAATGTTCTACACTTTAACACATATTTCATCACAATTCTCCATCCCCTATTAATAAATCACAATTAATTTCATAAAACATCCAGGGTGGTAGAATCGAGGTTTTCTCTTTTCCAAAACCATTTCACAATCAAGTATTTTTCAATATACATCATCCATTTATTTCACAAATCACATTTCATAAAACACAATTAACATTTAACTATAAAAATTAAGTTTTCCCTAACTACCTCAAACTTTTGAGAGGTTAAAAGTTTACCCCTCACTATATCAACTTCTCCAAGCTTCAACAAGCTCGAATGGTGTCAAAACGAACCTTTATTCATCCAAACCACAAGAATATCATCATTACTTTACTCTTGAACATAAAACTCCACAAACAATATTTTAATTGACTCATAATCACTATCCATTCATATCCAATGGGCTCATTAAATTTCATTAATACACATTATCATTAATAAAACCTTAAACCATTATTAATGCACATTAATCTCTCCTAACTACCTCATAAATACTAATTTTCAGACATTCAATGTTCTCATGGACCAACTACTTACAAAATTATTAATATGGTGTTCCAGTATATTAAATCACTCTTATTAATCTCATTTTAACTAATGAAATCAAACCCATACTCTTGTGGGCTGAAAATCTATCTCCCAACTTAAACCCTACTATAAATCATTACAAATGAAGGAGAGAAAGGAAGAAGAAAGCACCATAATCTTACCTTGGGTGTTTAGGAGCTTCAATCTATCAATAATGGGACTAAAAATCGTGCTCTAGTAGAGCCAAAACCAAGCTCTTCGTTTTTCTCCTCTTTCTCTCTTTTGTTTTCACACAGAAACAAATTAGATATATCTGATTTTTGGCCGTGTGCTGTAGTCCATGATACCCTTCACTGCAATGCATGACACAAAGGAGTCCATTACATTTAAATTGTCTCCGTGCGCCACGGCGGACCAACCACACACCACGGCGTATGACACAAAAAATAATTCTTCACTTTTTCGTCCTCTTTCCTTGCCCGAGTGGCCCGCCATTGATTCATAACAATTATGAATAATTTTAAGGCTAAAATCATAACAATTATGCCAAGTTAAGCTCCTCTGGCCACACACCTCATTAATTCACTAATTACCCTCATTAAGTTAATGAATCAGGATTATAATTTTCTGGATGTTACATTTTGGATCTTTCAAGGTATTATATTTTTTTCCAAAAATATCATTAATTAGGATGTAATTAATAAGTTTTTTTAGTTGAAACAACTTGTTAAATAAAGATAAATGTAGAAATAATGAATAATTTTAAATGTCACTTACTAACTAACTTATTTGGAGTATAAATTAGATAGATAAGTAATAATAATACTCTATTTTCTCCTATTTATAAATTATTTTTAACATATTTTTTGATATAAAAAAATTTAAATTTATTAACCCTATATAAAAATTTAATAAGTTAAGTATTAGCTTTACTCCTATTTAATATATATTTCATCTAGACCACAATTAAGAGTATTGGTAACTAATTCAAGTTGTATGAAAATATTAATTGAAACTTTTATTTCTTAAAAATATTTATATTTTTTAATAATAACCTCATTAAATATTACATATAAGTATCTTGAAAATGGCAATAAAAATTACAATACATCATTTTTTTCACATAAAATAATAAATGAAGTAGGGTAAAGTTAAAAAATTAATTATAAAATTATTTGATACCCTATATTTATGATCTAATAAGATTTCTGAAAGACATTATATATTGTAAATCAAAACAAATTATATTTTAATAACATACTTTCTCTCATCACAATTTAGCAAGATATAAGAAAAATTTTGTAAAAAGAAATAAATGACATGCCTTTAAGTAGTATTTTTAAAAAAATCTCTTTACATTATAAAATATGATACTCCATTTATTTTAAATTATAAGATATTTTTATATAAAATTATTTATATTAATAAAGGCTATTAAATACTCCCTTCATTTTTATATATAAGAAAAAACTGTATCATTAGTTAACCATAATAATAATGTCTAACAATAAAAAATTAAATTTAAATGTCCTATGTTAATTAATATAAGTGTCTATTAATTATTTCTCATTAATATAAATTATTAAAAATAATTTAAAAAATGTGTAATAAATATTTATTGAAATATGTAATTTTTTTTATATATAAAAAAATTAATAATTTTTTCTACAAATAAAAATTTAAAGGAATACACCTTACAATTTTATTTTTAAAAAAATAAAAAGATAAAATTTTAAAATATCTTTCATTTAATGTTTATGGGGATATTAAGAAGAGAATACAATGAAAAAATAATATTAAAAACATATCATTAGTAAAATTTTACTTTTATTAAAATATTTTATAATTTAAAATAAAGGGAGCATGAAAGTAAGCATAGTTTAAAAATTTATGATATTATTTGAGCAGTTGGATGTTAAAAAATATAAAATATTTTTAATTTTTTAAAA